CCTTCCTTCCTTCCTTCCTTCCTTCCTTCCTTCCTTCCTTCCTTCCTTCCTTCCTTCTCTCTTCTATCAATTCCTCCCTCCATCCCCCATTGCCTTCATCTCTCCAACTCTCCTTCCTTCCTTCCTTCCTTCCCGGGAGGCGTGGCCTGCCCGGTTCTTTACGGGCGCGCCCTCCCTCCTTCCCTTTCGCTCCGCTCGGCTGAGACCGTCTCGGGGGCTCCGGCGGAGGCGCTGCCGGAGCGGCGGAGGCGGGCCCGGGGAGGGCTCGGAGAGGCCGGCGCGCGTGTAATCCGAGCCCGCCCTCCTTCCCTCCCTCGCTGGCTCGCCGCAAGTCGCCGCCACTCCGGCTTGTCCGCTGGCGGCGCCTCGTTCCTGGCGGCACCTGAAGAAGCGCCCGCTCACCGGATCTCTTTTTCCACCGGGGAAGCGCGAGTGGCTGGCAGCGCCGGGATCGCCCGGTTCTTGGGACCTGCTTCGACTTGCGGCTGCTCTCCGCCAAGGAGGCGACGGCTCCGGGGCTGAGTCCCTCCGTCCTCCGTCAGCGGCGCGGTGAGTTCCTTTCCGTGCCTTGGAGAGAGGGAGAGGGGGGGGGTCGCATTTAAACCCCGCGTTCCCGAGGAATAAAAATGTCCCCCCCCCAATCGAGAATTGATTCCTTCTTGGAACCGACTCTTTCCCCTTTTTTTCTCTTCTCCTTAAAGAATATCGCTCGTTACACCTGCCGCGGTCTTCCGCTTTCAGCAGGTCGGTCTATCTATCTATCTATCTATCTATCTATCTATCTATCTATCTATCTATCTATCTATCTATCTATCTATCTATCTATCTATCTATCTATCTATCTATCTATCTATCTATCTATCTATCTCCTCTCTCTTCTCTTCCTTCTCTCTCTTCTCTTTTCTCTCTCTCCTCTCCCTCTCTCTCTCTCTCTCTCTCTCTCTCTCTCTCTCTCTCTCTTCTCTCTCTCCTCTCCTCTCTCTCTCTCTTCTCTCCTCTCTCTCTTCTCTCTATCTATCGATCTTCTCTCTCTCTCTCTTCTCTTCCTTTCTCTCTCTCTCTATCTCTCTCTTTTCTCTCTCTCCTCTCCTATCTTCTTTTTGTCCTCTCTCCTCTCTCTCCTCTTCCTTCTCTCTCTCTCTCTCCTCTCTCTTTTCTCTCTCTCCTCTCCTATCTATTTATCTTCTCTCTCTCCTCTCTCTGTATCTTCTTTCTGTCCTCTCTCTCTCTCTCTCTCTCTCTCTCTCTCTCTCTCTCTCTCTCTCTCTCTCTCTCTCTCTC